TCTGCCTCTCTGTTCCTCACTCCCAGCTCACTGCCCCCAAACCTGGCCTCAACCCCCACCCCCACCTTTGGCTGCTCCAGTGTCTGTGGCACCCTCCTTGTCTCCCCCTAGAGAAGGAGGTTCCCAGAGCCGCCATCTTGTCCAGGCCACGGGAGGTTATCTTCAAGCCTTTACCCTCCGACTGGACCAAGGGAAACAGAGCCCATGTTCAAAGTCTGCCAAATTGAAGTCTCAACTCTGAGATACTTATGGCTCCAAGTTTATAACAAAATATCCATGGCACTCTACTTAAAACAAATTGCATTTGCTTATCTAGTTTGGGGCCAGGAAGGGCTGTGAGAAGATCAAAATTAGACATCTCAGAAACCCTGAATCCTTGAATTTTTGAGTCCACAGTTTCCAGTAATCTCTAGGGCTAAATGATTAATTATACCCAAGGCAGTCCAAAGCAATTACTTAATTAAGCTGTGTTGCAGACTGCCAGTACCGTGGAACAGAGGGAAGGCCTTCACCCCAGTTTTTTAACATCTGGCCTCTGGATGACTTAAAAGATAAAAGGAGATATGAGAATGTTTTTATGACTAGGGAACAATTTCTAGAAATTTTCCATTAAGTAGAAAAACTTTTTCAGTTATTGGCTTCTCATGATTAGAACTTGACATGTTTTACTGTAGGTGTTCAGCGTATTTAAATCCAGTGCAAACCAAAAACATTGCAGTGCAAAATGAAATGTTGGGGTCATTTACTTTATAGGAAGACAGCTTCCTAGTTTCCCTGTATATTCCCTCCACATATGTTCATGTTCATCTTTCCGCTGGCCTATTTTTTTTTTCTCAGTTTTCTTTTTTAATTTAAGGCTTTTAAAGTCAGATTTGATAAGCAAAACCCTGTTATGCATTCTGAACTCAAAAAGTCTAAATTTTGCTTCTTAAAGCACTTCTCAATGAGATAGGCATAAGCCCTTCCCACCCGAACCCAGAGCAATGGCCCACTGTGTTTCTCTGTCTTCTTGGAGAAGGACCAGTTTGAAGAGGAGGGAAACAAGAACAACCACATAGGGTGACTCACTTTCAGTCAGTCTGGGGGTTTGGAAATACCCAGAAATTCTTCAGTTACTCCACATTCCATTGGGCTTCTCAACTCTGAGCAGTTGAATGTTCTGTTGGTTGGTTGGCAGAGCTTGTTTCTTGAATGGTTTCTTTGTTACATGTGTCTCGGTGGTCTCTCCTCAATTAGGCTACACGTTTCTGGACATGACCTTCAGTGTCTTCCACCATCTCTAACACCACACAAAACACATGATGGGTGGTGTAAACCAAAAACCCAATCAACCAATCAACTCAACTGCCATCAAGTTGGATCTGGCTCATAGTGACCCCTCCTTGGGTTTCTGAGGTGGTATCTCAATGGAAGTCAATTGCCCAGTCTTCCTTCTGAGGAGTAACTGGTGGGTTTGAACTGTCAGTCTTCCGGTTGGCAGTCAAATGCCTTAGGTACTACACCACCAGAGCTCTTCAGGTGGAGTAAACCAGTTAAATACTAATGAATTGATGAGTGTGTTCTTGCTCACTCATTGGGATCAAAATCAGTATTTGACTAATTCAAACATTTATCCAATCCCATTTGATGATTTAAGCGTGATTACATTGTCACCAATATGAGCCATCACTAAGCAAAGGATAAGCGAATAACTGGACAGATGACACTAACACATGATGTAGGGTCATCTTGCCAACTCTCTCCTTTGGAAGCAGGCTCAGAGTGTCTGAGAAAAACTGATGGACTCAACAGGATCAACTCTTTCTTAAGAATTAAGGTATGCTCAAACCCTTGGGTTGATGCCATGTGAATTTTGTGTTAGAACTGATTGCTGCCCTAGATGTGCAGTCCATGAACCTCATCCATGGTCCATGAATCTCCCAAAGTTGTGTGGATTTGTGAATTACTCTGGGAAGAGTCTAAGGATGTTGGGAATCACTGTTTGGAGTTGGAGTGTCTGTTTAGAGTCAGATGAATTTTGCATGAAAATTTTGAGCATTATTGTGGTGAAGAGCTTGTGAGCACCTTGCTAAATGGTGGAAGGTGCCCGACATGTGGGAACTCTTAGAGCTGCCAGCTGACAGTTTCCCAAGTTGCTGTGTCTCCAAAGAAAATCTTTCCTGCAACATCAGGAAGAGTCTTTTAGATTAAAGTACTTTATTGTCCAACACTGGAAAAGAGAGTGTTACAGACTGAATTGTGTCCCCAAAAATGTGTGTCTACTTGACTCAGCCATCATGTTCAGTACTATATAGTTATCCTTCATTTTGTGATCTGATGTAATTATCTTCAGAAACTAACCAACCCACTGTCATCAAGTCAATTCCAACTCAAAGCAACCATCATTGGGTTTCCAAGGCTGTGTAAATCTTTACAGAAGTAGATTGTCTCATCTTCTTTCTGCAGAGTGGCCTGTGGGTTGCTGATGACCTTCTGGTTAGCAGCTAAATGCCTTTTTCACTACACTAACTGTGTATTATAAATCTTAACCTCTATGATGTTAATGAGGAGCTCTGGTAGTGTAGCGCCTAAGGTACTTGACTGCTAACCAGAAGGCTGACGGTTCAAATCTACCAGCCACTTCTCAGAAGGAAGGTTGGGCAATCTACTTCCATAGAGATATCACCTCAGAAACCCAAGGAGGGGTCTCTATGAGTCAGGTCCGACTCGATGGCACATAATAAAAACAACAACAACATGATGATAATGAGGCAGGATTAGAGGAAGTCTTGTCAATGAGGCAAGATACAATCTAGAGAATTAAGTTGTGTCTTGAGTCAGTCTCTTTTGACATATAAAAGACGTTAAACGAGTAACACTGCCGCCAAGAAAAAAGAACTGGGATCAGAGTGCATCCTTTGGACCTAAGGTCCCTATGTTGGGAAGCTCCTAGACCGAGGAGAAGATTGATGCCCAGACACATGGAGATAGCCAAGGGATGCTGTGTCCACAGATGTTGAAAGGAGACAGGAATTTCCCCGAGAGTCAACAGAGAGAGAGAGCCTTTCCCTAGGACCAGTGCCCTGAATGTGGAGTTCTAGCTGCCTAAACTTGAGGGAGCAAATTGTCTTGTTACAGACATCCATTTATGGTACTGTTGTAACAGCACTAGATAACAAGAAGACATGAAGAGCCACACACAGGCCAGTGCCCCTCACTTGGAAGAAGCTGACTCCCGTTTAGGCAGTGCTGCTCATTTCTAGGGAGCAAGGTGGGGCATCGGTCTACCCTGCTCCAGATCACCAGACAAGTGTGGTGGACCATGGCCAATGCCACCAACTGACTATGCAAGTTAGACCGTTAAAAAAAATATGCCCATTAAAAAAAAATTGTTTCCCAACATGGGTATCAGCTCAGAGTCCTGCTCAGTCATTGTTCTTCCCGTAAGTGAGCCCCTTTTACCAAGGCCGGGACACCATGATGGCCAGTTTTCCTGTGAGCAGATGGATCAAAATGTTGCTGTTGTTTGCTGCTGTCAGGTTGACGCCATCCCTCTGTACAGCTGAGTGACACATCATCTGGTCCGATGCCTGCCTCCTTCACAATTGGTATGCTCAAGTCCATGGCCATGGCCACCATATATCTTGAACACCTTCCATCCTAGGGGCTTATTTTCCAGACTATATATAGGGCAGTGTTCTGTGGTGTTGCTTAGGGTTTTTAATGGTTAATACTCAGAAATAGAGTGCTAGGCCTGTCTTGGTCAGGAAGCTCCATGGAAACCTGTTGTACCATGCATGACCTACTGGTATTTTAAATGCTCCTGGCGTGGCTTCCAGCATCTTAGCAACAAACAGTGTGACACGCTGACAGGGTGGTGTGGGAACAAAGTCAGACCGTGGAATACACATGTCAGCAGAAGCCCAATTCATGTGTCTGCCCTTATTAATAGTTTCTGTGGTTTGAGCACTGACTGGTAACATTACGGGACTAAAGTTTTAACAAGATGCCATGGCATCCTTGAGAAGTAGGTGCCGTTAGCCTCCTTTTACAGATGGAGAAACCAAGTCTCAAAGAGGGTAAGGAGCCTGGTCAAGATCACACAGCTACTAAGTGGCAGTGTGGCCAGAATCCCAAGGGCCACTTTCTCGGAAGTGCACCTAGGAGTCTCCCAGGGGTGTTCTCTCTCATAAGGAGATCGCCACTCTTGGCCAAGGCAGAACCAGAGGCCAGACCTCAGCCTCCAAGAAGTAGTTCTAATCCTTGTGGGCTGACTTGGACCCTTTATGGCCATGCCTCCCACGAATAAGTAAAATACAGAGAAGCGTAACTTTGTCATCTTGTATCTGGAGTCTCTGGGTGGTGAAAAGGCTAACCCACTTGGCTGCTAACCGAAAGGTTAGAAGTTCAAGTCTGCAGAGGGGTGCCTCAGAAGAAAGGGCTGGCCATCTGCTTCTCAAAAATCAGCCGCCGAAAACTCTGTGGAGTACAGTTCTAACCTGACAGGAGGGGTTCCCACAAGACGGCATCGACTCCACAGCAACTGGTATCCTCGTATCAGAATTTCTTTAAGTCCCAAAGCTAAATATTTGGAAAACGTGGCTACTCAGGATAAATAATTTAGATCTGGAGTTTTCCTTTGGAAAAAGAGAAGAAAAGCTTCCTTCTGAATGGTATCAGCTTGTTCAGATGTAGTTATTTTCCAAACAAATGAAATGTCCTTTCCCTCAACTCCTCTTCCTGGCAGTGTCTGTAGAAAGTTACAAAACCACATAAAGCCAAACGCAGCCTATTGTCTGCCGCAAAATGTTTCAAACGAAAAAATCTCAGGTTTGTTTCTCAAAAGATTTGTAAAGAGTCGATGCAAACGTGGGGCCCAGAAATGTCCTTTCTGGTTCAAACCTGAGACGACAGACTGGTTGATGCTTCATCTTTCATTCTCGGTCTGGTTGAAAACTGTTGTCTTTACCACGGACAAGAAGCTGCTCTTAAAATGTTTTTCCCTCATGTTTTTATGATAGGGGACTTATTATGTTTGAAAATAAAACCTACGCCTTAGAACCAATGGAAAACACAACCAGCAGATACAAACTCTTCCCCCTGGAGAGCCTGAAGGGCTTCCTGGGAACTTGTGGGTCTCATCGGAATGCCTCGGGCCGCACGCCGGATCACATGCTCGGGCCGCCCCCCAGGACACGGGTAAGAAGGGTAGGAGGAAGGCCAGTTTTACGTTTCTGGGCTGAAGCTCTGGGGCACCTGGTGCTTGCACGTCTGGGGAGCTTTTGCCATCGGCATGCTGTTGGGGGGGGGGGCGGAAGCTTGCAGTGGGTCTGGGGGTAGTTGACATCATGCAGGCATTTGTGCTGTCCTTGCTGGCCTCTGACGTATTCAGGTACGCTGGGAAAAGCCACGCATAGTCATGGTCAGAGGATGACAGCATTCATCACTAACTCTTTAATGAGAACCTACTATGGCCTAGGCCCAGAGATGGGCCTGTCTACCCTCAGGCAGGCAGCTCTTGTTCTCCTTGTGGGGTTGGGGGAGACAATCTAGAGATCTCTTCTTTATCGAGGCGGTGTTACAATGAGGATCCTCTTTACAGTAGGCAAAAAAACTCATAAAGGTTCTTCCCTTTTGCTAGTGCAAAGAGTTCTCGTCCCATGGAGTCCTTCTTGCTTTATGGGCACAAACGTGGGTGTTCAGGCCCGTCTTGTACCCTCTCCCACACGTAGCTGCTCGGGCTGCACAGAGCTCAGCAGGCTCTCCTTAGCCAAGAGCATCATCCTATCTGGTGTTTGATGTGTTGTTGTTTGCTGTCAGTCAATTCCAACTCCTAGCAACCCCACGTGAGGAAGTAGAATTGCCCCATAGAACCGTAGGCTGTCATCTTTGTGGGAGCAGACTCCAGATGTTTCTCCTGGGGAGCTGCTGGTTGGGTTGGACCACCTACCTTTCAGTTACGGAGGTCTGGTGGTGGCGTACCTAAGGCATCTGACCGCGAACCAGAAGGCTACATGCAGCCAGACAGCCAACCGCTACACCACCAGAGCTCCTCGGGCTTTGACTGAGAGGCGCTGAACTGAAATGAGTGCTTCCAGACAGGAAATTGGTCACCATTTCCTGATTCTTCATCTCTGACTTGGCTGCTCCTCTGTTGACAAGGAACCAAGACGTGTTACAGATAAGGTTTCCCTTGTGCTTACGGATGGCTGGCTGCCTGCGTGCTCCGTCAGCACATTTTGACTTTCCTAACTTGGACTATCTCTCTGCTTAACTGCCAATTTTTCATGAGTATTGTTCTCTTAGTTCATGCTAAATCTTTTTTTTTTTTAAGTCAGGAGGTGGTGGTGGTGGTGGGGCTCTCCTAATTGATTATTTCTGATTCTTAACGTTTTCCTCATAAGCTGCTGCTAGCTATTGTTCCCCAAAACTGTTCTTAACTACTCTAAACCTGTCCAGAATGTTGTATTTTAACTCTCCTGAGTCACACCAGGTCTTCTGCCCGTGTGATCTTTCTCCGTGTTGTTATTGTGTCTTCTTACTGCCTTAATGCTGCTGGAACAGAAAAAAAGAAGCCACAACTGGGTGGCTTCAGAGAACAGAAACTTATCTTCTCACAGTTCTAGAAGCCAGAAGTCCAAATCAGGGTGTCAGTCATGTGAGTTTTTTCCTTGTCGGGCGCCTAGGCATTCCTGGTTTCCCTGCCTGGTTATCTGTTGTTGTTATAATACAGAAGGGATCAGGCTTAGGACACACTCTGTGCTGATATGGGCCTGTTAACATAACAAAGAAGACCCTGTTTCTAAACAGGATTGCACAGACAGATGTAGAGTTAGGATTCCCATGCATATTTTGGGGAGACACAACTCAGTCCTGACTGTGTTCCCAAGATTTCTGTGGCATGTGGTGGTAACTTTTTTTTTCCTTTTCCTGCCCCATCCCACAAGAGAGTCTGCGTCTGTGAAGTTCACGCCTTGGCAACACTGTGGGGCAGTTCTCCTCTGTCCTCAAGGCACACCGAGCAGAATGGACTCAACAGCAGTGGGAGCAGTGGGCCTGGTTTGCGTTTTACGTTTCCATAAAGCTCACAGCCTATGGGACAGTTCTACTCTGTGCTACAGGGTCTTTATGAGTCGGAATCGACTCATGGCAACGGGGTGGGGGTGGGGGAATCTCTCTCCAAGTTCCAGGGAGCAGATGCCCTCCTCCGCAACACAGGAGGGTCGGACATCCTGCCCTTCTCCCCTCACACATCTGAGAGTCCCGGGTTTTAGAGTTGAAATTGCAAAGACCAGCATCTGTGGTCCCACCACATGTTTATTTTACTCTTCAAACACTCTTTGAATCCAGACCTAGGATAAGATGTGATTAAGCTGTCGCTTCACCAGTCATAAACAAGTATAATGTTTCCACTTGGTTTCCGAGGCTCTTTGTCTTAAGTACCTTGTTGAATACAACTTCTGCATGTTACGAGATTTAGAACCTGACAGTTTAAATGACGCTCAAATATTTTTGCTGTTTCATTTGTCAGTGGGAGTGTGGCGTCTACCTGAGGGTCATATTTTAATTCTCTAGCTAAGTGTAGAGCCCTCTACAAGGATGATTGGCACCATAATTTCCACTCATTCTGACTTGCCTGGAACGGCAGGAGCCTGAATAACAATGTTGTTTTGTTAATAATGCACATTGAAGTGTAAATGAACCTTTAAATTGAAAAGGGAAAGCGTCTCGTACACTTTAACTCCGTCCTCAATATTTCTCTCTAGAAATCGTTTCTTTTACAGAAGAGAAAATGTCCTTGAGCTTAAGTACATCTGTGTAATGAAAATGTCACAAAAAATAATTTCCAAATGAGTGGAACGCTTGGGGATTGGAATTATATAGGAGATTGTTCTGGGGCGCATCTACGGCAAATACGTTGTTGTGGTCAGGTGCCGTCACGTTGGTTTCCACTCACAGCGACCCCAAGTACGACAGAACGAAGTCCTGCCTGGTCATGCACCAGCCTCACGGTCATTGCTGCATTGGAGCATGTCGGTGCGGCCGCTGTGCGAGTCCGTCTCACTGAGGGTCTTCTTTTTTCACTGACCTTCTATTTTACCAGGCATGATGTCTTCTCCAGGGACTGTGCCCTTCTGATAACATAAGTACGTGGGGCCAGGTTTTATCATCCTCACTTTTAAGGAACGTTCTGGCCGTACTTCTGAGATAGATTTGTTCATTCTTCTGGCAGCCCGTGGTACGTTAATATTGTTCGTCAACACTGTAATTTCAAATTCTTCACTTCTTCTTTGGTCTTCCTTATTCATTGTCCAGCTTTTGCATGCATGTGAGGCATTTGAGAATACCATGGCTTGGGTCAGGTACACTTCAGGCCTCAAAGTGTGACAGCTTTGGTTTTGAACACTCTGAAGTGTTCTTTTGCTGCAGATTTCTCCAGTGAAATATATTGCTTAATTTCACATGTAGTGGTTAAGGCATTTGATTGCTAACCCAAAGATGGGTGGTTCAAACCCACCAACTGCTCCATGGAAGAAAGATGAGGCAGTCAGCTTCTGTAAAGATTTACAGCCTTGGAAACCCAAGGGGGGTGGTCACTGTGAATTGGAATCAACTCAGTGGCAGTGAATTTAGTTTGGCTTCCATGGACGTTGATGAGGGATCCAAGTAAAGTGAAATCCTTGACAACCTCAATCTTTTCTCCATTTATCGTGACATTGCTTATTGGCCCAGTTGTGAGGATTTTAGTTTTCTTTATGTTGAGGTAGAATGCATACTGAAGGCTGTAGTCTTTGATCTTCATCAGTAACTGTCAAGCCCTATATGGTAAATATGAAAGGGATATACACAAGTTACACAACACTTACCTGCCTCACCTGCACTGCCCTTATTTTATACTGAAAAATCAATGTAACTGCTGCTAGCTCATCTTGTTTATATGATTCAGCAACTGTATTTGCTTGTTTCCAGAATTTTCCTGTCCCCGCTGAAGATGAACTGTTGCAAAGATTGGTGGGTAGGCTGCAATCTTTCTGCAGATGCTTGCGTTTTTCTTCACAGAGCAGCCAGGGATAAATCTGGACTAAGGGCTATAAGAGGAGCATGAGCCGTTTGTTGTCTGTCATTTTTACAAGGCTATTGGTTAGATTGTACTGAGGACCCAAGCGACCCATGGAAGGGCACAGAGAGACGGGGAGTGGCATTGTTCACCCTCGTGCAGGTCGTAACTCCAGCCTGAAGGGCCCTTGCTGGTCCACTCCTTGTTCCTCACCTGCTGTGCATTCAGGATTGCAAGCTGAAGGCACTGGACCTGCTGCTGGAGAAGATACCATCATCCGTCCCAAAGGCAAATGTCCTTGCTTTTGAACTATCCCTTCTTTGAGGGTTGTCTGCTGTTATTCTCCACCGTTAGTATTGATAATTACATGCAGGACGTAAGAGTTGATGCCTTCTGTAGGGAGAAATGTCTGGTTTGAGTACGGAGGACCAGCAGAGCAGCCATGACAGCAGAGGCTTGTGTTTCCTCAAATGCATCCTTGTGAAAGGAACTAGTGCTGTTTACTGGTTTTGTTTCTCAACAGGGTTTCTTTTTGCTTGCTTGCTTGCTTTTTTTATTTTTATTTTGTGTGTGTGTGTGTGTGCAATACAATGTCTGCTTTCCTTCTTTCTTTTTTTTTATTGTGATTTGGGTGACAATTTACAGAGCAAATTCACTTTCCATACAGCAGCTCTCACATACTTTGTCTCACAACATTGACTGCAATTTCCCACAGTGCAACAGCTCTCTTCCCACTCCTCCCCATAGTTACCTCTTCCCTGTGTCCTTCCCTCGCATGCACTCCTGCCTCCTGAGCTGTCTCCCTGTGCATACACAGCCCTTCTATTCTCCCATGATTGATCTCTCCAAGGAGTGAGTATATCTACCTAATACAAGTGTTCTGCTCATATACCTGTCTTTTGTTTGGCTGGAAGCCACAGGAGTGGGTTCAATTCTAGACCTGAAGGGCAGCTAGGGGCCATAGTCTCAGAGGTTCCATCCGCTCTATCAGACCAGCAAACCTGGTGTTCCCCCCCCTTTTGTTAATTTTTTTTTTAATGATTTTGAATTTTGTTCTACATTCTTCTCCCACTCTATCCAGAATCTCCTACATAGATCCCCCTCTGAGTGGTTGACAGCAGTAGCCAGGCACCATCTAGTTCTTCTGGTC